CACACACTCTCTCTCTCTCTCTCTCTCTCTCACACACACACACACACAGTAGAAATTAATAATGTGAGCTTTCAGACTCTAGTTTAGGTTGATTTCATTAATAGGATCGTTCTGTCATAATTTTCTCCAAAATATCTTCTTTTGTGTTCCAGAAGAAAGAAACTCATTTAGGTTTGAAGAACATTGAGAACCAATCAACACTGGACCCCACTGACTTTCATTAAATGAACAAAAAACAGTGATACGTTTAACAAAACATCTGAAAGTCATTCAGGTTTGGAGTAAACGATGACAGGATGATCACTTTTGACGGAACGATCCCGTAAGGATTCAAGAGTTTCTGAGACACGTTCATCACTCATGTCAGTGCTGGGGAAAGTTACTTTTAAAAGTAATGCATTACTAGTTACTTGAAAAAAGTAATCTGATTACGTAACGTGTCACTTGTAATACGTTACCCACAACACTGATAATTATCATAACACAAACTTTAGGGAACAAAAACACAAACATATTCTTCAGATGCAGGAAATCGGACTGTACAGACAAGAGAGATCAGAAACACATCAGATTTATTCACACGTGATCAAAAACATCAGATATGAACCTCAGTCAGCTGCTGAATGAAGCCATGAAGAGCGTCCTGAACACGCGTGTCCTCCCTCCGTAGGGCACAGGAAGAAACAAACCTCATAAGCACAATGCTACAAAACCATGTGTGTTTGTGTTCAATCAGAAGATCACATGATGATTCCAACGCTAGCTGGCCCACTTCCTGAAACTCACTTCCTGTTGGAGGCGGGGCCTTTATGGAACAGATAAATCAACCTCTGAAGTCCTGAAGGAGAAACCAAAGCAGAATCAAACATGTGACTGTTTCATAAATCCTGATCGGTGTGTATATATATATTATAATTATGTACTATATTATTTATTATAGAAGTGAGACAGTAAATAATATATTTAATTCATTCATAATTTATTGATTTTAGTAAGTGTTTTTTATTGTTTTTGTATTTTTATGATTTGATTTAGTATTAGCTTTTCATCAACTCCTAAATCCTCGTCTGGGACACTGTAGCGTAACGTGATGTTTAATGCGCTTCATGGTTTTGATAAAGAATTGTATTTTTATATCAGTGTGGTGCAAAGTAATCCTGTTCAGATCTATGGGATAAACGAGTAAATAATGTTGAAAGTAATCTGAAAGTAGTGTGATTAATCTCATCAGATCTCATGAAAAAAACCACAACTTGACCCCAAAGAACTAGTTAATTACAGACCGATCTCGAATCTCCCTTTTCTGTCCAAGATACTAGAAAAGGTAGTATCCGCACAATTCACCTCCTGCGCACACACACACACACACACACACACACACACGATCAGCTACAGCTTCCATCACATCTGTCAAATGTGCCGCCATTACACGCCAGGGTCAAAGGTCACTGAAGAACACACCTGCACGTGTGAAATTCAAAATATTAGTAAATACCATAGTATAAAATATAGTACATAAGTATATACTACAGTAAGACGTCACAGTATGCTGTCTGCTCCTCACTGCATGCAAATGCACAAAATTATCTGGCCAAACATATATAATAAAACTAGAACAACTGATTGATAGTTTAGAGTTGTTTATCCAGTCAGAGCTCATTTAGTGTAACTGTAGCTGGAGCTTCTCGTGTCAGATCTTGAGTGATTTTGATCAAGTAAGCGTCAGAATAACTGCAGTAATATCTCCAGATGAACACTTACTGGACTGAAGCAGCTCAGCTTGACTGATATTCAGATCATTTTATGTCAGTATCTACTGCACTGTTATAAAGATCTCACTGATTTACATAAAATATCAATATGAAATATCAGCATCTGCAGCAAATTCATATTTTTGGTCAGCTTGAGTCTCTGGATGAAAATGAGCTGTTTTAACACTCTATCAGACTATTTCAGCTGGCAGTCTCCTGCAGCGGCTGTAGCTCCGGTGTGTGTGTGTGTGTGTGTGTATGTATTAGTGTGTGTGTTACCGTGAGTCTCTTGCGGGGGCTGTCACTCCGGTGTGTGTGTATGTATTAGTGTGTATACACACACTAATTTGTGTGTGTGTGTGTGTGTGTGTGTGTGTGTGTGTGAGTGAG